ATTTGATGCTGGTGCTAAAGATTTCCTTATTTGTCAAACCAACGCCAAAGTTTAACTTCACATACTGCTCAACATTCCTCATTTTAGGGAAGAAAGTGCTTCTTGTAAGAGTTGTCATAAAATACAACTTGTTTCCTGTAATTTTAGGACTTTAGTCTCTTAATATTATGAATTTATTCTCGTAATTTTATGACTATTCCCGTTGTGACTTTATTCTTGTAATGTTAAGACTTAATTCTCATAATTTTATCACCTTATTCTTGTAATGCTACGAGCGTGTTTTAATGGACGCCTAGAATTCTGATCCTACTAGATCTCCCACTGGCCGTCAATTTGACAGATGAAATTGAGTAGATGAGTAGTTATGATGTCATCAACTGAAATGGGTCTAGTGTGCCATATAAACCCATTGTGGATATGTAAACCTTAAAAAAGGTCCAATATTGTATGCTAGTATTATTTGTGGTATAAATATGTATTAAAAATAAATCAGTAAAATAAATAAGTCTGTTTTACCACACAGGTTCAAAGTTTGAAATTAGAATTTTATTTACAGAAATCGATCAATTCCCCTCGGACAATTCCCCCAGACCAATCAGTAAACATGTCTGTTGAAGCACATATCATCATCAGAATTTCATCAGAGTATTATATCTTTGGTACAGGGGCAGGACAGGATCTAGAGGGGCATTGGCCCCCATCGGCCCCTGTCTAGAACCGCCCATGGTGATGAAGCAGTTACGCTGCTCACCAGGTGGCAGTCGTAGTGCAGCTGAAAGTTGTTTGCATATACAGCCTTTAAAGGAGAAGAGGAAATCAAACTGATTATGTTGAAAAGAACATTTCAAAAACAGATAAATCATCAGATTATTAGCTCTATTTTGGTCTCCTTCTCCTCAGTTAATTGCAGTTAGTGATCAACTATTAAGGACATTACTGCCACCAACTGGTAAGGAGTGTAACAGCTTCATCAGAGGTTGTAACATTTTAAATTCTACTTACAATATTTTCCTTGCAGCCATAGCTGTCTCTCTTCCAAGAGCAGAAAGAAGTGTTAGAGTTTTCTTTCAGACAGCTTTCAAGCTTTGGTCAGCAACAGGTGGGGGAGGGACATATGTGTAGTTTTCTTTTCTGCATACAGCTGGAGAACCGCCAGCCACTTCCCCACTTTCTCAAGCATTTCATTTTGTAACCACAACAGCTGGAGCCAAGGGGAAGCAGTAAAAATGTGAAAAGCAGCTTCATTCAGCATTTGGGTTGTTCTTTTATTTCTGATATATACTTTAATTCTGCGTAAACACAGGAGGTCATTCCTCTCATCCCAGGGCAGCGAGGCATACTGAGATGCTAACATGAGGTCTTTGAGACCGTGTGCTTGGGCTGCAGCTGCAGGTTTGGTCACGGCGGTCGGTGCTCAGAGTTTGGCTGCTGCGGTGCGGTGCTAATTTAAACTAGCTGCCACGAATAGACGTGCTGCCAGAGGACTACATGGCGCTCAGCCCGCACAGCCGCACACAAACCATGACGATATGACAACTGCCTTTGGCACACACTCTCATTTCTATAGATTTATGAATACAGAGCTAGTTTCATTATCATATACTCTCCTTAAAGGAATCCTCAAAAGCAAAAACTGTTCTCCTAAGTTTGAGTTTCTAAATTTCAGAGACTGTTTCTAATGATTAGCGCTTCCCATAAATGTCCGCCTGTGACCCCAGAATTAACAATGGTACAGAATGGGGACCCCTTTATTCATATACAAGCATGCTTAGTGTGAGGGATTGCTGTAGAGTCAATGAGTCGATGCAATCAACTGGTTTTTCTTAGATTGAAAACTTTGAATCAGTCTGAGTGGATGAACTAGTGAACTGGAAAGTGACTTGAGATGACATGTGTTGTGAATTGGCAGAATATAAATAAACTGAATTGAATTTATATAGAATTAAGTAATTATATTACTTTTTTAACTGACATTTACTTGTTTGATTTTGATTGTTTATTTGGATGTTATTATGTAATTATTTACTTCAAATCATATTTAAATGTCAAATCATTCTGGCTTAAACATGTATATAAATGTACTCTTTATCAGACTATATTGTCCCAAAATTTTGAGAATTTCTATTTTAAAATAAATCCTGTCTTAAAATCTGTGTTCTTTTTCATTATCTTATGCAGGCCAGTTAGTTATACGTCAGCCTGAACACCTAAATTCGGCCAATCATATATCAACGGTCATCTGTCAATCACATTTTTTCAGTCGCATCTTGATTCATATGTCACAGCTAATATATGCAATGGTTAAAATAAGAAAAAAGAATCATTTCCTTTCTCATTGAGTTCCGTCCCAGTGTTGACGGGGGTGGACATCTGTGTCTTCTAAATAAAAATGTATGACTGAGGAGACTCATCCACGACCTCAGACACTAAACTCTCCTCCTCTTGCATGTTTCCTCTGTCCATAGCGTTCCTCGTTTCTAAGTCACCAATTTAGTGCTACTTGGTTCCAATGGAATTTCCCATTGGGAACCTGCTAGCACTAAGTTGCTAACTGGTTAGCGACATGCTTCAGACAAACCGGCCACAACCAAATTTGCTTGCAAACCTTCCGCCACAACAATCCCGCCCCCTTGATAAACAACCAATCACATTCACTTTGTTCACCCGTGTAAAGGTGGGTACCACTCAAGAGAATTCGGAAACGCAACAGCTGGAATGACCGCTTCCCTACGACTTTAATTGTAAATTTAATGTTTAAATAATGTAATAGATTAATATCACAGGTAGAGATATACTTTTACTTTCCAGTAATTTCTTCCAAAATCTAACAGTTAGCAGTGATGCGAGTAACGGCGTTGAAAGTAACGGCGTTACCTTGTTTTAGTAACGAGTAAACTAACTAATTACTTTGACTGTAACTATAACGCAGTTACCATTGCAAACACCCCGTTACTGCGCGTTACTCAGGTCGCACAATTAACCTTTTTTCATGATAGGACTCGTGCGCGCCTTGTCATGAGAGAGGGGAGGATGTGAATGGCTGATGTATAGTGAGATTCCGTCTGTCAGTTGGATAGGTGGGTGTTTCAGCTGGTGGGTGTTAATGTACAGCACACACAGAGAGATGGAGAGTGAGGAGGACTCCAGCAGCAAAACAGCGTTTTCCATATGGAAATACCGGTGTTACGTTGAGCTGCGTTTCCCCATCACATACGGTTTCCCCTGCATCTCCGCACAGCGCAGGCGGCACAATCCACCGCGCAGGCGACAGGAAACGCTCATGCTCGCTAAAGGCACGTAACAGCCGCCCTGTGCTCGTGCCACAGGAGAACTACGGAGAGCGTGAAGGATCAAATGATAGCCTGTATGTATGGATGGATGGATGTATGTATGGATGTATGGATGTATGTATGTATGTATGTATGGATGGATGGATGGATGGATGGATGGATGGATGGATGGATGGATGGAGTGGATGGATGGATGGATGGATGGATGGATGGATGGATGGATGGATGGATGGATGGATGGATGGATGGATGGTCTACAACAACCCAAACAGAATTAGACATTCCCAGTTATTAATTTCATACACTCACCACATCTGAACGCCCCGT